TAGTAGCTGGGATTACAGGCACGTGCCACCATGCCCAGCTAATTTTTTGTATTTTTAGTAGAGACGGGGTTTCACCATGTTGACCAGGATGGTCTCGATCTCCTGACCTCGTGATCCACCCGCCTCGGCCTCCCAAAGTGCTGGGATTACAGGCTTGAGCCACCGCGCCCGGCCGCACGATTCTTTTTTTATTATTATTATGATTTTGTGACGGAGTTTTGCTCTTGTTGCCCAGGCTGGAGTGCGATAGTGTGATCTCGGCTCGCTGCAATCTCCGCTTCCTGGGTTCAAGCGATTCTCCTCCCTCAGCCCCCCAAGTAGCTGGGATTACAGGTGCCTGCCACCATGCCCACCTAATTTTTGTATTTTTAGTAGAGACAGGGTTTCACCATGTTGGCCAGGCTGGTCTTGAACTCCTAACTTCAGGTGATCCACCCACCTCGGCCTCCCAAAGTGCTGAGATTTCAGGCGTGAGTCATGGTGCCCAGCCCAAGATTCTTGATATAAAATTTGCAAATTGGGGCCGGGCACTAGTGGCTCACACCTGTAATCCCAGCACTTTGGGAGGCCAAGGCAGGTGGATCACAAGGTCAGGACTTCAAGACCAGCTTGGTCAACATGGTGAAACCCCGTCTCTACTGAAAATACAAAAATTAGGCCAGGCGAGGTGGCTCACGCCTGTAATCCCAGCACTTTGAGAGGCCGAGATGGGTGGATCACCTGAGGTCAGGAGTTCAAGACCAGCCTGGCCAACATGGTGACACCCCATCTCTATAAAATAAAAAAATAAAAATAAAAAAAAGAAAATACAAAAATTAACCGAATTTGGTGGCGGGTGCCTGTAATTCCAGCTACTCAGGAGGCTGAGGCAGAGAATTACTTGCACCCTCAAGGCAGAGGTTGCAGTGAGCCAAGATTGCGCCACTGCAATCCAGCAGGCGACAGAGCGAGATTCCATCTCAAAAAAAAAAAAAAAAAAAAAAAAAATTTGCAGATTGCTTTCCAGAAAGATGAACCAACACAGGAAGCTAGTGCTGGCTTTCCACCTTTACCAGCACGAGCATTATTTTTAGTTTTTTTACTTTGGCAATTTGCTAAGCTCCTTCTGTGCCAGGTGCCAGTGCTAAGCATTATGTAATGTCATCCTTACCACCTCGGGAGGGGGCACACATTTCACCAAGGAAGAAACCAGCTAAGAGGCCTCTCCCCCAGCCTGTGTCGCCTGGCCACAAGGCAGGGGAGTCATGATTCAACCCTGGACTTCTCCAACACTAGCACCCAGCCTAAGGTGTCAACATGCTTGCTTGGCAGCCTAGGAGTCTTTTTTTTTGTTTTGGAGGCGAGGTGGAGTCTCCCTCTGTTCCCTGGCTGGAGTGCAGTGGTGTGATCTTGGCTCACTGCAATCTCTGCCTCCTGGGTTCAAGCGATTCCCCTGCCTCAGCCTCCCAAGTAGCTAGGACTATATCACACCCAGCTAATTTTTGTATTTTTTAGTACAGTCAAGATTTCACTATGTTGGCCAAGATGGTTTCAATCTTTTGACCTCGTGATCCACCCGCCTCGGCGTCCCAAAGTGCTGGGATCACAGGCGTGAGTCACTGCGCCTGGACTTTTTTTGGTTTGGTTTGTTTTTGAGATGGACTCTCGCTCTGTCACCCAGGCTGCAATGCAGTGTTGTGATCTCAGCTGCAACCTCTGCCTCCCGGGTTCAAGAGATTCTCCTGCCTCAACCTCCCGAGTAGCTGAGATTATAGGTGCTGGCCACTTCACCTGGCTAATTTGTTTTGGTATTTTTAGTCGAGACGGGGCTTTACATTGTTGTCCAGGCTGGTCTCGAACTCCTGACTTTAGTAATCCAGCCGCCTGGGCCTCCCAAAGTGCTGGGATTCTGGGGGTGAGCCATTGTGCCCTGTAGAGCCTGGGCAGTCTCCACTCGCTTCTCCTACCTTCTCACTGCTTCTGTCTTTGTTTTCACAGGAGCGGGTTTTACAATTGGTAGATCTGATGCTGTCACTCATGAGGTTCACACCCTTTTCTAGTGCTCCCTACCCTTAGGGGATAAAGCCCTCTCCTCAGCCCAGCGTTCGAAATCCCACCCTCCAGGCTGCCTGTGCACCCATAGGCGCTTACGTCCCCCGGGCCCTGGAGGCCACCCCGCGCTCCGGCCTCGCGGAGCCACTTTCGCGCCTCTAAGTCCTAGCTCTTCCGCAACTCTTGCAGGTCGAGTTAGGCTACTCAGCCGCAGCCCGGGTGCCGCAGAGCCAGTCCAAATCTTTGGAGCGGCGCTCGTCACATGACTGCGATGACTTATGGACACGCGAGTTCCGCTGCCCGAGCGCACTCCGTCAAGGCGCTCCGCCCTCCTGGGTCTGCGCGCCGCCAGCGCCTCCGCGCGTCCTGCCCGCCCAACGTCAGCGCCGAAGGCAGGGCGAGGAGTCGCGCAGGCTGTGACACTTGTGCAAGGCTGCGAGCTACAGAAAAAGAAAACTGAATTGCTACTTAGTTCGGCTGTGGTGGCTCAAGCTTGTAATCCCAGCACTTTGGGAGGCCGAGGCAGGCGGATCACTTGAGGTCAGGAGTTTGAGACCAGCCTGACCAACATGGTGAAAGCCCGTCTCTATTAAAAATACAAAAATTAGCCAGGCATGGTGGCACGAGCTGTAGTCCCAGCTACTCGGGAAACTGAGGCGAGAGGACCGCTTGAACCACAGGGAGGTGGAGGTTGCGGTGATCCCAGATCAGGCCACTGCACTCTAGCCTGCGCAACAGGGTGAGAATCTGTCTCAACAACAGAATTACTACTTAGTAGCCAAGGATTGTTATGGCGCGGGTACGGGGAATAGAGTTGTTGTTAAAGGGATCTTTGAGGGCAGGACCATTTTAGGTGCAGGATGAGGGAGCAGGGCGTTCTCTCTCTCTCTCTCTCTCTCTCTCTCTCTCTCTCTCTCTCTCTCCCCCTCTCTCGGGAGTCTTGCTCTATTGCCCAGGCTGGAGTGCAGTGGCGCAATATTGGCTCACTGCAACCTCCGCCTCCCAGGTTCAAGTGATTCCCCTGCCTTAGCCTCCCAAGTAGCTGGGATTACAGGTGCGCACCACCAGGCCTGGTTAATTTTTGTATTTTTAGTAGAGATGGGGTTTCACCATATTGGCCAGGATGGTCTCGAACTCCTGATCTCGTGATCCGCCCGCCTCGGCGTCCCAAAATGCTGGAATTACAGGGGTGAGCTACGCCGCCGAGTTTTTTTTTTTTTTTTTTGAGACAGGTTTTGCTATGTTGCCCAGGCTGTAGTGTGGGGGCCCGATCTCAGCTCACTGCAGCCTGCGCCTCCCGGGCTTTAGTGATCCTCCTGCTTCAGCCTCCCGAGTAGCTGGGACTACAAGGGCCCGCCACCACGCCCAGCTAATTTTTGTATTTTTTGTAGAGACGGATTTCTCCATGTTGTCCAAGCTGATCTCGAACTCCTGGGCTCAATCGATCCTCCAGCCTCGGCCTCCCAAAGTGCTGAGATTACAGGCAGAAGCCATGGCGCCCGGCCACTGTAGCTATTTTTTGATAACTACACTCGACCCTCCTCACCCACTCCTTTCTTAGCCAGATCTACTAGGAAAAGACTTTGAGGTGGACCCCCCTCCACCCCTCTGTGGGCAAACTCCTGCCGGGTTGTAAGATCTAGGCCGCCCTCTCGCCTGGCCTGGGTCCCTCGAATGAATGTACATCCGCCAACTGCGCGCCGCCTCCCACCGCAACTCCGCGCGGGGCCCCAGGATCGCAGGACCGCGGCGGCCTCAGGGAGGTCGGTTGGGACAGATCCTCCTGGAAGTACCCCCCTCGATGTCCCCGCGGGATAGCTGACCCTTTCGGGAGGCAGACGGACCTTGGTCTCCGAGCCGTCCCTTCCTGATGCGGAGGACGCGGAACGGAGGCGGTCCTGAGCCACCCAGGACCCCCTCGCACCTGCTTGCGCCTCGTAGCACCGCGTGACCGGTGCACTGGGCGGGCTCGCGCGGCGCGGTCGGCGGCGCCCGGACCTCCCGTCCCCCAGAGGGCGCTGCCCCCGCTGGCCCCACTCGCACTCGGGCCTTAGGAGCCCACAGGCCCCGGAGAAGCGGCGCCGAGCTTTGGAGCCCGCGGGTCGGAGCGTGGGGTGTGCGCGGCCGACCCACCCGTGGGGGTGACGCGAGCGTTGAGGGCGCGAGGGGAGGCGAGGTGGGGGGCCGAGGACGGCGGGGTCGTGGGGCTCCGCGCGCGATGGTGGCTGTGTCTGCGGAGGATGGGGCTGGTGGGGTGGGGGCGGGCGGAGTGGGCCGCGGGGAAGTGGCGGTGGTGGGGAGAAGCCGTCCTACGGGACTCAGGACCGCAGTGACGGGGTTGGACGGTTGTCGATTTTATTGACATCGGGGAGCCTGGAGAGGGTTTGCGGTATTGAAAAGGGGGTGTGAGTGGGGAAGTGATGGGCACAGAGAGAGGCCGAGGCTGAGGGTGGGAGGATGGAGCCTTTAGAAATGGAGAGATGGGGGATTTTGAAGGAGGGGCTGTTGGCAGTCTCTGAGGGGGCATTGGCAGGAGGGTGGTTGAATCTTGCCCCTGGCAGGATTGGAGGTAACTTTGAAGGATGGGCCGAGCGAGTGTGGCAGAGTCCCGGAAGGACTGGGGTGCAGCCGTGAAGCTCCGCAGCCGCCTTTGCGGGTTGTGGCTGGGGGGAGTGGCTGTGGATGGAAGGGGAGCTGGCCTGACCTGTGGTGGGGACCCCTGGCCTTACTCTGCTTTCTGTCCCCAGCCACCATGTTCAGCCAGCAGCAGCAGCAGCAGCTCCAGCAGCAGCAGCTCCAGCAGTTACAGCAGCAGCAGCTCCAGCAGCAGCAACTGCAGCAGCAGCAATTACTGCAGCTCCAGCAGCTGCTCCAGCAGTCCCCACCACAGGCTCCGTTGCCCGTGGCTGTCAGTCGGTGAGTTCCCCACTCGGGGCCGATGGCTTCAGCCCTGCCACTCAGACCCATGTCTGGGAGCTCCCGATCCCCATCCTCTTCCCTAGTGGCATCCCCCTTTGAGTCCTGGTAATCACCAATCCCAACCCCAAGGGGTCGTTTGTCTACCATAGAGTGGGGCAGAGAATGGAGGTGAGAAGTCTTGGGGAAGAGGGAAGGTCTGACTTTCCCAATAACCCTCTGACACCCCCTCCCAACATACAGGGGGCTCTCCCCACAGCAGCCACAGCAGCCGCTTCTGAATCTCCAGGGCACCAACTCAGCCTCCCTTCTCAACGGCTCCGTGCTGCAGAGAGCTTTGCTTTTACAGCAGTTACAAGGTATGGATGGCCCCAGGCCCCTTCTCAGTCTCTTTTAGGGGTATCTCCCTAGCAGCCTATTGCCCCAAATCTCAACTCCACACAGCGACCCTGAGAGGAAGCTACTCTTGGCAGCCTAGTTCACCCACGAGGACACTGAGGCTCAGGGCGGTGAAAGTGCCTAAGCTGCTAATTTGAGTGCACATTTGTCTGCTGGCTCTTTAGGTGGTACTCAGCACACTTCACTCACATTCAGATTAGATGCCATTTCACAGACGAGGAAGCTGAGAAGGGAAGTCATTTGCCCTGTATCAGCAGGGGCTGAGTTGGGCTGATGCCTGGGCCACTTGACCATCCAGATATCTGACTGGTTGTCTGTAGGCTGGTGCATAAGCCTGTGGCCTTGTCTCAATTTCCCAATATGAAGAACAGTCTTGGCTCTTCTTTCCAAGATGCTGTACTTTTTTTTTTTTTTTTTTTTTGAGACAGAGTTTTGCTCTTGTCGCCCAGGCTGGAGCCCAATGGCCCGATCTTGGCTCACTGCATCCACTGCTTCCTGGGTCCAATCGAATCTCCTGCCTCGGCCTCCAAAGTAGCTGGGACACAGGTGCCTGCCACCACGCCTGACTAATTTTTGTATTTTTAGTAGAGACGGGGTTTCCCCATGTTGGCCAGGCTGGTCTTGAACTCCTGACTTCAGGTGATCCACCCACCCTGGCCTCCCAAAGTGCTGGGATTACAGGCATGAGCCACCGTGCCCAGCCAAGATGCTGTTCCTGATTCTACTGATAACCCTCTGAGGGGAGGTACACCCACAATCCCATTTTACAGATGAAGAAACTGAGGCCCAGAGAGGGGTCATGTGCCCAAGATCACATAACAAGTAGTTATTGATTAGATGGTTGTCACTCTGTGGACCTGTCTGGGCCACATGGGTGTGGATGGCCCTTATCATTAAAAATGATAAGCAGGTGGGTAGAGAGAGAGAACCGCACATAGGGACCTGCCACATATACGTACACATTTTCCTTTTTTTCTTTCCCATTTAAAAAATTACACTCTTCGGCCATGGGCTGTGGCTCACGCCTGTAATCCCAGTACTTTTGGAGGCCAAGGCAGGAGGATTACATGAGTCTAGGAGTTCGAGAACAACTTGGACAACTTGGGCGAAACTCTGTCTCTATTAAAAATACAAAAATTAGTTGGGCATGGTGGTGTGCGCCTGATCCCAGCTACTCAGGAGGCTGAGGCATGAGAAGCGTTTGAACCCAGGAGGCAGAGGTTGCAGTGAGCCAAAATTGCATCACTGCATTCCAGCCTGGGGAACAGAGCAGAGCCTATCTCAAAAAAAGAAAAAAAATCACAGTCTTGGTCAGGCATGGTGGCTCCTGCCAGTAATCCCAACTCTTTGGGAGGCCAAGGCAGGAGGATTGCTTGAGACCAGGAGTTCAAGATCAGCCTGGGCAACATAGCAAGACCCTTTCTCAAAAATAAACAAAGAATAAAAGTCACACTCTTTAAAAAAGTGGAAAAAAAGGTTAAAAATGGGAATAGGAAAACTCACAGTGTCATCTGTTGACTCAGCACCTGAAGAAAACTACCAGTCAATGTTTTTGTCTGTTTCATCCCATTTTTTTTCTAGGCACAAACTTGGGGGTTTGTATCTAATGATTGCAATTGATATAAGTCCCATGCCGTACCTTGTTACTTTTTCACTGAATAGAATGGCATAATCGTTTACCATAGGATTTGATCATCTCTGTTAGGATTTTTTTTTTTTTTTTTTATAAAGGTGGGGTTTCGTCATGATGGCCAGGCTGGTCTTGAACTCCTGACCTCAGGTGATCCACCCACCTCAGCCTCCCAAAGTGCTAGGATTACAGGTGTGAGCCACAGCGCCGGGCCAGGATTATTTTTAATAGCTGTTTAATACAGCACCAGAGGGCTATGCCTTTGCTTGCTTATCTAAACCTTCTTAGCTGTTTGGCTCTTTCCTTTTTTTTTTTTTTTTTTTT